TCTGGTCCACTGGTTCTCTGGTCCACTGGTTCTCTGGTCCACTGGTTTTCTGGTCCTCTGGTTCTCTGGTTCTCTGGTCCTCTGGTTCTCTGTTCCACTGGTTCTCTGGTCCACTGGTCCTCTGGTCCACTGGTTCTCTGGTCCACTGGTTATCTGGTCCACTGGTTCTCTGGTCCTCTGGTCCACTGGTCCTCTGGTCCACGGGTTCTCTGGTCCTCTGGTCCACTGGTTATCTGGTCCATTGGTTCTCTGGTCCTCTGGTCCTCTGGTTCTCTGGTCCACTGGTTCTCTGGTCCACTGGCCTCTCTCTCATTGTGTGTGACAATAATTTAGTGGTTGTTGATGTAAACAGACATGGAAGTTGTTTTTAAAGCTTCTTAAATGTCAGATTAGGGACTTATGTTGTTGAAATGTAATCAGTCAGATTTTATGATCTCTCCCCCCCACCCCCCCACACACACACACCTTCATCCATTCAATGTCCACCAGCTGCAACAGAATCTGACCTTGGTTCTGTCAGCAGCAGGTGTGGTCTGCAGGATTTCCTGCTCCATGATTTATATGCTGACATCGAGATCATGGATTACCAGAGATTAGTTGTTTTGCTGAGTCTCATGTTTCCTTAGAACAAGACAGACCCCTCAGAGGACAGAAGAAACCTTGAGTGGAGCAGGACCATGACTTTAGATTTTTAAGTTCTAGTCTTTGCGCCAGTCATGAATGGATGTTCTTTTTTCTGATCTTGATGGAAAACTCAAAAACATTCTGACTTTGTGTGAATCTTTTGGACCTCGCCCTCAGTGAAAACCTGGACCAAGTCAGTTCTGTTTGTGTTTCAGTGCTGGGGTCGGCAGGACCGGGACCTTCATGGCTCTGGACCGCCTTATGCAGCACATCAGGGAGCATGAGTTCGTGGACATCCTGGGGATGGTGTCCGAGATGAGATCCCACCGGCTGTCCATGGTCCAGACCGAGGTCTGCTCACCCCACCTACACACCGTCACTTTACAGGAACCATTACAGCTGATGGACCTTAGCTAACACAGAGTCGTTCCTACAGATATTGTGCTAACATTTGGTGTGGTAGTAGCTGAGAGTCATCCCCATCGTGTTTGAGTTCAAGAAGCGACAGCGGCTGTTTGTCATTTGTTCTTCAGGAGCAGTTCATCTTCATCAGTTTGCTGCTTTGTTCTTAATTAGTTTGATTTTCACTGAGTTCAGTTTATTTCTGTAGCTCCAACAGAAGTCATCTCAGAGCTCCGAACAGAAACATTCACACACATTTAAAAAAACAATTAGTGAAGTTCTCCATCTGAGGAGGCAGCAGGTTGTGTTGAATCTTCTCTTCATCACAGTCTCTCATCCTGAGCAAGAACAAAGGAGACAGTGGGAAGAAAAGACTCCCTTTAACAGGAAGAAACCTCCAATTTGTTGCTGTTGTCCATTGTTGTCATCATTCTTTGTTAAATCAGGTGTCTCTTGTAAATGAGTCCTCAAGTCTCAGTGGGATTTACCTGTAGAAATAAAGGTGGAATGAATGAATAGAACCAGCTCAGGATGAGCTTTGACTGGCCGGGTCTGAGAGGACAGGAAGTAGAAACAGACACAGAATGACAGGTCCAGGTGTACATTCTATAGTCCAGTTTAGGAGTGCGCGATATAAAAGGTATACGGTAGAAACTTAACCCACGATAGAGATCTGGCTTCTAGCGGCTAACCGCAGTAACGCTGTGTCTCAAGTAAAATCAGAGTTGTCAGTTTAATGGCTACTTTTGTTTGTTGAAAACTGCATAAGTGGTGTTCAAGTGTAAAATCAGAGCTGTCAGATTTAATCGTTGCTATTTTGAGCTGAAAACTGCACAAGTGGCGTTAAAGTCATTTCTTCGAGAGCTAAGTGGCGAAGCTACAAGCTAACTACGCCCGGCTTGCCGTAGTGTTATCGTATTCTGACGCAGGCGTAAAACGCCGTGTTCCGTCAAAAGTTTTCTTGTCTTTTTTTCCGTCGAAAGTTAAAGTAAGCGTTGGTCATGTTTAGAGAAACCTGCTCTCTGATCTGTGAACAGAACTCTGTGTTGTGTGATTTTACTGCGAGACCCTCTGGTCAAAGCCACAGACTCATTTTGTGTCAGCTCCATTAAAGCAGCAGGAGGCGCCCACTAGAGGTTTGGAGGTGAAGTGTTTCAGTTGCTGCTCTGTTGCTGTTCATTTATAAAGTGAGACTGGAAACTGTTAACATATTCTTCTGTTTAAAACATGTGGCTAAAACTACATCTGATCTCTTTTGCACTACAAGCAAAAAGCCCAGTACTTGATTTGCTTATTATTTAAAAACTCTCTGGACCTAGTAGTGGAATTTTCTTAATTCAAAATATATGATGGCAAAAGGACACCCTGTGCTTTTTTTATTCCTATTGCAAGTTTTATACCAAAAACATATCGCGATATATATCGTTATGGCCACCCTTCACAATACATATCGTGATATGAATTTTATGCCATATCACACATTCCTTGTCCAGGTGTACTTTCTATAGTCCAGGTGTACTTTCTATAGTCCAGGTGTACTTTCTATTGGAGGAAAGAAAAAACAGGTTAAGATGGAAATAATTACAAAGAGGTAGAGTAAGTAAAGACAGCAGAAAGAGGACATGTGGTCAGTTTGTCCTCCAGCAGTCTAAGCCTATAGCAGCAGAACTAAGAGACAGCTCAGGAAACCCAAACCAACCCCAACTATAGGATTCATCAAAAAGGAAAGTCTTAAAACTGGACAATGTGTCAGCCTCACGGACAGAACCTGGAAGTTGGTTCCTCAGTTGCTCTGAATTGTGCCGCTCAAGGTGACTGCATGTTAGAAAAGCTGTTACTTTCATTCTGGGATGTTGCTTTTGAAAACTTTATTTCCTCTTTTCCTAGATGTAATTTTTTTCTCTTTTTTCGGACGATTACTTCCTCTGGTATCTGATGCAGCTGGAAGGATTTTTACTGAAAACCTTTAACTTTTTGACATTTGTTATGATGCGTAACCATGACAACAAGATGGTTTTTACAACCATGGCGGCTGTGGCTGAGTGGTTAGAGCAGTCGTCCTCCATTGCAAGAGTTGGGGGTTCGAATCCACCAGCAGTCACATGCTGAAGTGTCCCTGGGCAGGACACTGAACCCCTCACTGCCTCTGATGTGTGTCCCATCGGTGTCTGAATGTGATAAAGCTCTGATTAGTCTCTTTAGAATAATGTGTTCAATTAACTTTGTAGAGATCTGGTATAGAGCTGTATGAACGGGTCTATGAGGCACAGATTGTTGTAAAGAGCTTTGAGTATCTTGAAATAAGATAGAAAGGAGCTATACAAGTATAGTCCATTTAGCATTTAACCAGGAGCAGCTGATGAACATCTCAAAGCTCAAATAATGTCTCAGCTACAGCCCCACATCCCAAATAAGATAAGAACTTAAATACAACTTGATTGATCCCACAGGAAATTGTTGTGCCAGAGTTTCAGGACAATGAATCACACAAGATATAATACAAATTACAGAGAACATAAAAATATTTAAAAAAGATTAACATTAAGGTGTAAAACAGGTTCAGGTCAGACAGAAACATTTTGGTGCAGGATTCATTTTATTGTCCTAAAGGGGGAGGAGTTGACCAGTTTGAAGGACTTCCTGTTCTGTGGAGCAACTCGTGGTCTCAGTCTAGGACTGAAGGTGCTAGAAGAGTCCAGGGTGTCATGCAGGGGGGGGGGGGGGTGACGTGATGTTCAGGATCTGGAGCAGGTTCCTCAGCATCCTCTGCTCAGAGACTGCAGGTCCACTCCCAGAACTGAACCAGCTCTCTTCGTGAGCTTATCAAGTCTGTTGGCATCAGCTTTCTTCACCCCCAGCACACCACAGTGTAGAACATGATGCTGGAGACCACCGAGTGGCAAAACATCTGGAGCATGGTCCTGCAGACGTTAAAGGTCCTGAGTCTCCTCAGAAGAAAAAGACGACTCTGTCCTTTCTTGTAGAGGTGCTGGTGTCATCTATCCAGTCCAGTTTATTGTCCAGGTGGACCTCCAGGTACTTGTAGCAGTCCACAGTGTCCACCTTAGTACCCTTGATGTTGATAGGGTTGGGGGGGGGGGGGGGGGGGCTTCTTCCTGTGGTCCACCTGCAGCTCTTTAGTTTTTCCAACATTGAGTTGCAGGTGGTTCTGTCCACCACACTTCTTTATTCAGCTTCATGGTCACCAGTGATGCAGCCCACAATGACAGATCATCCAGAACTTCTGCAGATGGCAGGATTGTGAGTTGTACCTAAAGTCCGAGGTGTAGAGGGTGAAAAGAAATGGTGAGAGGACCGTGCCCTGAGGAGCCCCTGTGCTGCTCAGTATGGTATCTGAGGTGGTGTTCTGCAGCCTCACATACTGTGGTCAACCTGTGAGTTAGTCTCTGATCCAGGTGACCAGCAATCCTTCACCGGCATGTCCAGGAGAAGAAATGAGATGTAAAGGAGGTGCCGTGGAAGCATCTTCGTCTACCTGGCTGTGGTGCTCAAGTAACTGACTGCTGAGATCCTGGAGCTGGCAGGAACCGTGGCTCACGCCAACAAGAAGACCAAGATCATCCCCCGACACCTGTGGCTGGCTGTCTGCAATGATGAGGAGCTCAACAAGCTGCTGAGAGGAGTGACCATCGCTCAGGGAGGAGTTCTGCCCAACTTCCAGGTGGTGCTGCTGCCCAAGAAGACCGAGAGACCCACTGGGTCCAGGTGGACAGATCGGCATCTGCAGCCAGTTTCTTCAGATCCGCTGCGGGACAGACTGCAGCGGGATCCTTCCTGCTCACAGCCATCAGCATCTAGAACAAGTCTTAATGAACCCAGGATGATGAGTTACAACAATACCTCCTGGATTAATAACGTATTTTGAATTGCATTTAACATGAGAGGAGCCTGATGAGCTAGGTTGTTGAGAGCTTTGTAGGTTAGAAGTAAGATTTTGAATTCAGTTCTGGATTTGACAGGGAGCCAATGGAGAGAAGCTAAAACTGGAGAGATATGATCTCTCCCAGTAACTCCAGTTAAGACTCTGGCAGCAGCATTTTGGATCAACTGAAGACGTTTTAAAGAATATTTGGACACCCAGATAATAAACCATTGCAATAGTCCAGTCTAGACGTGACAAATGCATGGACCAGTTTTCCTGCATCATCTTTAGATCAGATGTTTCTAATGTTAGTGATATTACGCAGGTGGACTTCCACCAGTGCAGATTCAGTGCTGTGGTGAGTCTAAACCCTGACTGAAACTTTTCAAACAGATTATTTCTTTAGTAGATCATCAAGTAACTGACCTGCAACTATTTTCTCTAGAATTTTTGAGATGAAAGTTAGATTAGATATAGGTCTATAGTTGGCTAGGATTCATGAGTCAAGGTTATGTTTCTTAAGTGAAGGTTTAATTACAGCAACCTTAAAGCTCTGTGGTACATAACCATCCATTAAAGACAAGTTAAGCAGATCTAAGACGTGGTTATTAATTAGAGGAAATACGTCTTTAAAGAGTCTGGTTGGGATGGGATCTAGCAGACATGTGGGTGGTTTGGATGAAGCTATTATTTTTAACAGTTCAGAGCTGAACAGGACAAACATAAATCAGGTTCTACTGACATTTTTAAAGTTGTCTCATCTGACACAGAACCAGAGGCAATACTAGGAATGTTGGTTTAAAATTTCTCCCTAATTGAAACATTTTTATTTATAAAGAAGCTCACGTACCATAATTGCCGGTCTATAGAGCGCACCCAAATATAAACTGCGGGGTTTAAAGTCTTTGACAAAATTAATGTCTCATTGAGCAGAAAATACAGTATTCATTAGTTATAAAAGTTAAGTCTGCTCCTCTGGATGTTCAAAAAACAAAAACAAAACAACAACGTTGTTGTTTTTGTTTTTTGAACATCCAGAGGACCAGACTTAATATAGATTTTTCTATCTGGATTATTGAGCATGCATCAGGATATTCATTAGTTAGTATTTGTTACGCATCAGTTTTTGTTTTTTGGAGCCATTTGTTGTTTGTTCTTCATCCGTTTGTTAGTTTTTATCACTTTGTTGTTTGTTTATATTGGCTTTTTAGTGTTTATCTTCATTTGTCTGTTGTTGTTTTTGTTTGTTTTTCAGGAGCAATTTGTCTTCATCCATCAGTGCGTCCTTCTCATGTGGCACAAGAAGAAACAACAGTCCGTAACCTCAGACGTCATCTACGAGAACGCCAGCAAGACATAAAGAGCCGCTGCCACGTCAGTACGAATATTTCTTCTGTTTGATTCTAAAAGTGTTGATGTGTGAATCCTTGGTCCTGATTGGCTGACCTCCAGCTGTTTGTATAAATCCTTAGTTCTGATTGGCTGACCTCCAACTGTTTGTATAAATCCTTGGTTCCTGATTGGTTGACCTCCAGCTGTTTGTATAAATCCTTGGTTCCTGATTGGCTGACCTCTAGCTGTTTGTGTAAATCCTCGGCCCCGATTGGCTGACCTCCAGATGTTTGTAGAAATCCTCGGTCCTGATTGGCTGACCTCCAGATGTTTGTGTAAATCCTCGGTCCTGATTGGCTGACCACTAGATGTTTGTAGAAATCCTCGGTCCTGATTGGCTGACCTCCAGATGTTTGCAGAAATCCTCGGTCCTGATTGGCTGACCTCTAGCTGTTTGTAGAAATCCTTGGTCCTGATTGGCTGACCTCCAGATGTTTGTGTAAACCCTCTGTCCCGATTGGCTGACCTCCAGATGTTTGTAGAAATCCTCGGTCCCGATTGGCTGACCTTCAGATGTTTGTGTAAATCCTCGGCCCTGATTGGCTGACCTCCAGATGTTTGTGTAAATCCTTGGTTCCTGATTGGCTGATCTCCAGATGTTTGTGTAAATCCTCGGTCCTGATTGGCTGACCTCCAGATGTTTGTGTAAATCCTCGGTCCTGATTGGCTGATCTCCAGATGTTTGTGTAAATCCTCGGCCCTGATTGGCTGACCTCCACCTCTGCAGTTAATCTGTTCGTCTGTCTGGTTTAAGTTAAATTAACCTGAGCCTAACTGAAGCCCTTCTCATCCTGCAGGCACAACATGGCCGACCTGCTCTCTGTAGAAGACAACCTGCTTCATCATCAGAACCAACAACCCGACAGAGAAACTTCTGATCCAGTCTTTTGATTTGAATTGGGTTTAAAGCTGGAGTTCTGCCTTAATGTTCGACTACAACCCAGAACCAGTCCCAGTCCTGTCTGGTTCTAACATCCAGATGCCATGACACGATGATTCTGGCCATGACTCGGCAGTTTTTCATTGAATTTTAGATTTTTATTCTCTGGAGTGTCTGAGAAGCACCGGCCTCTTCCTCTGCTGCCAAATCTTCTTCTTTGGTTCGATTTTGGGCATTGAAATCATCAAATCCAGCTTTAATTTAATAACGGGTCCACACTGCCCAACGTTCTGAATGGATCACACTGCCTCCAGAGAAACCAGCCCAGAGATGGACAGACGCGCTGATTCTAGCTGGGGGGGCGGGGCTAACCAACGGACCAGGTGGAACGACCTCAACCTTTCTGCAGATCTCCAGGATCGGACCACAAGATGTTCTGGGGCCTCATGAGTTCTGAACAAACCAGTCAGAGATTGGTCCAGTGCAGCTCCAGACTCGTGTCAGGGCGTTGAACAGAAACATTATCAAAGACAGTAACATTCTCTCTGAGCAGCTTGTGTTGAACCTTCAGTCCCATCCTGAGCAAAGATTTCCACCTAAAACCGTCACTACAACACGTCAACGTTTTAAGATGTACCTTTGAAATGAAAAGCCCCAAAGTGAATGATGTGAAGACGTCATGTGACGTTTGTTAGCCACAACTGGCTGCTGGTTCACTTAGCTTAGCTGCTAGTTACCCCGGTAGTTTGTTTCTCTCACGTTTGTCAAGATGGCCGAAGCGTCTCCGCCTTCTCCTGTTGGTCGGAACTGAAGCCAAAATATCTGATTTTTTTTTCAGGGGTTATCAGGATGTGGGCGGCATGCTTGATGCTTAAGCCCCGCCTCCCCTCCCACTAAAAAAATCATTTGGTTGAAGTGTCTGTATAATTTAAATATTTTGGGAACGTCCTCATCTTCACTGGAAAAACAAGAACATTTTTTCGTTGCAACGTTTAACGTGAGCACCAGGTGGCAGCGTTCGTTACGTTCACGTCGCTTGTTTAGCAGAAGAAAGTATTTTAGAACTTCTAATGTAAATATATATATGGCATTGTAATTGAGTCAAAATGTCCATTTTTGTTGCTCTGGGTCCACTGGTGGCTGCTGGATGACCCGCTCTTCGTCAGATTGTACGATAAAGCAGCAGCGTGCAAGTTTGGTAAACTACACGTGATGACCGAAGAGACCGTCACCGGTCACTTCTTTAACCCAAAGTTGGTTTGTCCTTACAGGATGAAAACAGTGTCGTCAAAATAAAAGCCTCTTGGTTCATTTTCTGTTCCAACAGACAAAACTTTCATTTCAGGATTTAATTTAGAGACTAATTCAAAATCTGCCCTTTTGATTCTTTTCCTTTCCGTGTGTCTGTTCCCGGCAGTCTCTACGTGAGACGCCTGGACAGGTCTCCAGTCCACCACATGGAGACAAACAGGAGGGAGAACCACTCTCAGCTAGGGCCAGTTCACAGAAACCAGTGAACCTACCACGCCTGTTTTTAGTCTGGAAGGAAACAGGAAGTGGATTTTCAGTCCCGTCCCACAGAAAAAAAACAACTTGTCCCATCGAATCACGTGAGTTAAAGTCGACTCTTGACGTGGGATTCCTGACAAATGTCATGCTCTACCAGGGAGAACATGTAAAACCACCCAGATCTGAGGACAGGCTAAGAGCGATTCAGAACCCTCTCATGGGCAGAGAACAAGGACCTTGATGTCCATCCCCCGGACGTGGGTTACCAGGACCCCACCCTGGAGCCGAGCCTGGGAGTGGCCCCATTGCACCTGGCGTCCAGGCTTCTCAGTCACATGAGTTACATGGGTTTGCCTTCCCGCAGGCCCACAACCTACATATGGGTCTGGTGCATGGCACCATGGGACGTATGGCGCTCTGACCCTGGCTTTTTAAAGTTGGCTCTTGGGACGTGACCTCTCTGGTGGGGGAGGAGCCTGAGCTTGTGTGTGAGGTATGACTGTGGTATGGTATAAGGTGTGTTTGGTCTGGAACAGGTCTCTCTTGTAATGAGTCCTCGTGGCTCCATCAGATCGGCCTGTATAAGGTTTTCAGTTCTGATCCACCTGATGAGCCTGCAGTTCTGATCAAACGGCCGAGGCTGGCCAGACATTTGTTTGGAGCTTTTAAATGCACGTTTACATGTCCACACTCCAGAACCCTTAAGGAACAAAACTGCTTTTTTAACTCGAAACCTTCAACAGTCGTCTGTTTCTGCTCCAGTGAAGCATGTAGGGCTTTAATTTTGGCGGGGAGAAGATGACGGATGTTAGTATTTTGACGACACTTTGTGATTTCAGAAAGCAGTGATCATTTGCTGCCGTGGCTCTTCACTCATTTCTTGTTTGGTACTGGGGTCCACTGGTTCTGTTTCCCAGTTGGACATCAGGTGTACTGTACAGACTGCTTCCTTTCTGATCGTCACTAATGACCATTTCTTGTGGAACTGTTGCGTTCAAGTCGTCTTTTTTACGTTGTAAATGTGAACGTTCACTGAGCCAGCACCGCCTGCTGTCTGGAGGACTCTTCTCTGGTGTCACAAACATCTCAAGACTTTCCTGGAAATTTCCCATTTGTCTTCTTCCTTTGTGCGTCCGGTCAGGAGTTGTGTGGTGCCACTTTTCTTATCGTGTTGTCGTCACAGTTTGATCCAAACTGTCACGTTTCATGTTTGTTGGACAAATAAAATGTTGCAGTAAATGAGTGTTCTGCAATTTATTTAAGTTCAAACTAATGTATCAAGGCAAACACCCGTTAGTTTAAGGTAAAAATGGTTTATACGTATACCTGTGTTTGTATGGATGTGTAAAACACGTGTCATTTGAGATGATTAAATTTCTGTCCTACCGCAAGATGACCGACGACGAGCTGACACCTTGAAGAACGAGTTTGATTCTTCAACAGAACCAGATCTTCTGTCGCTGGACGTTTCTGAAGTTCTTTGGGTTCTGTAAGACCAAAGAAAGTGGAGCACCGTGTAAAACAACACACTATAGTATGACTTCCAAACTGGTGTAAAATGACACATACTATAGTATGACTTCCAAACTGGTGTAAAATGACACATGCTATAGTATGACTTCAAAACTGGTGTAAAATGACACATACTATAGTATGACTTCAAAAATGGTGTAAAATGACACATGCTATAGTATGACTTCTAAACTGGTGTAAAATGACACATGCTATAGTA